GGATTGGCGCTTGGTTTTGGGAGTGTCGAATCACGTCGTTCAAGGCCGCTGATGCTGATGATCATGCGTCATTGATTACTGACCATCAAACACCTGACTTGGGCAATGGAAAATTGAGGTGAACTGAGGAGAAAAACTTTCTGAAACGAAAACATTTTCAATGATGACGCACGACGACTATTGATTGATTCATTGATTATTGATTCATACTATTGATTTTTATTCATTTCAAATCCTATTTACTTCCTCATTGAGTGTAACATTTCAAAAAATTTCAGAGAAGCATTTTGCGCAAATACAATTACAAAAACAAAATACTTATAGACTTGTGAATCTGGCTGCGGTACCTTGCTGATCAATTCAGTCTTTTGTTTGCCATGCTGAAAAACAAAATCCATCAGTTGGTGGAAAATAACAACTGAAGCCAATGTGCAATGTGTTCAGTTTTGTGTTAAGTTATCAATAAGAGGTAACCAAAAATGAATTGTTTGCCTGGTTTATTAATAGGGATTCACGCAGATGACACCTGCTGTGACACATTAATTGACTGATTGATCAGCAAGCTTTATTTTCCACTTTTCAGCATTCCCAAGGTTCAAGCAATGTTCCCACATCCAACCCCTTCTTGTCCCCCACACCAACATTCATCCGAACACATTCCATACACTTTCTTCCCCTCCCCAAAAACAAAAATAAAATATCATTGATTAAAATCGTAAAGCTGGCTGACACCTTGTAGGTGGCAATTCAAGGTACAGTATCTATAAATTAAGTTGTGTGACATGGACTTTCTTGGCATCCAGGTACACATCACCAGATACACAGGTTCACAATGTGTTTGTTGCCTTATTCTTTTTGTTGTTGTTCATATAGGGTGTATAAACCTGGACTGCGAGTTGGCTGGAGTCGACCAGAATCTGACATGAATTTGCCCGTGGGACAAGACGCTCACGGTTTCGGGCTCGCGTGCAACGGACGCGTGTTCTGTGACGGATATGGCTGCGCCCGTGCGGCTCCATTGCGAGAGGGTGACGTGGTCGGCGTGCTCATCAACGTTCAGCACGCGGGGCGTACCTTCATGTCATTCTACAAGAATGGGGTTCGGATCGGGGATGTTCCTGGGGGTGCCATGCCGGGTTGCTATTTCCCGACTTTGTCTCTTGCCGGCAGAGTGTCGGCCGAGGTGAATTTCGGCCCGGAGTTCCAGTTCGAGCCGCCGAAAATTGCCGAAGCGTTTTCGTCACTCGGAATTCATCGTTGATGATGAGTCATCGTCGAGTTACGTGTATACCGTATACATAAGGGCGATTGGACCATTTTGTACTTCGTGTTCGTCTGTTGAATGATAGTTTACGTTTAATTGATAAACTGCTGGAGATACAAAACGGAAAACTCGAATCTCGTACTTGTTTTAATCGGCGTTAAAAGAAAGTTGAGTTGATTTTCCTCCCTCATAATTGGCCTGTTGAACATTTGGAATACATTTTTTGTCATGATTTGCAAGCTCAGCGAACTGAAATTCGAATAGATTTTTTATGATTTTAGGAAAACACATTAATTTTTTTCTTTCAGCTGAACTTATTTTAAGGCAAAAGTACTAGATGTTGCCATATTTCTCATTTGAGACAGTGCTGAGAAGTTCTCAAAATTGTACATGAATTTAAGGGAACATCTTAAATTAGGTGGAAAAGATTATTTAAAATGTTTCCAAGATGAGAAGATTTTCCAAAAGATAAGATATGGAAAGACTCTTTCCAAAATCTTAGAGGACCAAGATAATCTGTTAACCTTATTTGATTTCTCATCAAAGCTTCTCTCTAAATTTTTTAGTCAATTAAACCCAATCTGGGAGCAAGCTGAACACCTTGCACTTTAATTTAAGTTTAGTATTTGTTTTATGCTTCAATTCTTATTACAGTGTATTGATATTTTGTTTTTGTTATCACAGAGGGGAAGAAAGTGTATTTATATACATAAGTTCTGCAATTACGTTTTGCAATGTATTTTAATATTCATATACAGCTTAATTCTTTGTTTTCCATTCTGATGTGTTGGCATGTGTTTTGATATATGTGGGTGGGGAATGGATGGGTTTGGATGTGGGAACCTTGCATGAACCTTGTGAACACAGAAAAGCAGAAACTTGAGCTGGTTGTTCAATTCAATTCAATTCAATTATAAGATAACAAATACCATTCTATAATTATACTGGCAATTCATTTTAGCATATGAGAACTTTTTTCCTATCCAACTGATTAAAATAATTCATTATCCTCATAAAATTGTATCCATCTATTGTCCCTCATCGTTCTGACAGCTTTGGCTTCATTTCCCCCCTTCCCGGCAATAAACCCCGTTTTATAGCTTTTAACCCAGACAATGTTGTAGATTGAATTGCTGGCAGGGGACATCTACAGCAGCTGTCGACTTGCCAAGTACAGTTAAATTCGCTTTCTTTTTCAAGCAAATCAACTAAAATTGGATCGATCAAGTGAATATCATAGCTTGAAAAAAAGGAGAAGGGGACCAAGAGAAAACTGCAATTTACAAACACGGAAGTGCTGCACCATATGGATGAAATATTCCGCACATTCCTTGCTTATATGCTGCTTGCGGATTATGGTGAGGGCTTTCCTCAAGATTTGAAAACTTTTGTAGAGTCGTCTTCTTCCAAAAATAAAAAATAAAAATTGCTAATAATATAATGTAATTGCAATTGAAAATGAAATAACAGACAAAGTTGCTAGCTATACTTTTTGAGCCGGTTAAGAACAACAGAGGTGGAAAAAAAATCAAAATGCAACAGTCAGCTGTTGGGCAGCCAGATTCTGCATTTTTCTGCATCATATTGGTGGATGAAATCCCATTGAAAACTATCCAAAGTTGGTTTCATATATCTGAGAAGAGACGTCAAAAACAAATACAAAATCACGTGCGCATTGAAGCATCGCGTCAAGAAAACTTGAGAATCGGACAATTTTTTTAAATGACCCCATCGATTTAAATAACTTACAAGTTCTGATAACAAATTTGTAAATGGCGCGATAATGTGGATAAAAGTCTGCAGATGGACAACCCGGAAGAAACAACGCAGAAAAAGAGAAAGCTTCTCTTCAGGGATTTGAAGGAAAAAAATACAATATTACCGTAATAAAATAAGAATTGCGTGCACATTCGGTCTGAGGAAAACCTTAATTCCGCCCCTCGTCACGTCGGACGTGGACAATGTAATGCTCTCCCCTACTTGAATATGCATGACAGTTTTATTCGTTTTCCCTAACCGTCTGAAAGAGATAGAAGGAAAGATCCATGCAGGTCAGGTGAAAAAATGATTTGATTCGCTTATTCTGATCGTCACGCTCTGAAGAGAGTTCGATGGAATTTGGGAGTATCGCAAATTTTTTTCTCCATCTGCGTCGCACTGGAATCACAGTCGAGCTTCTTGTAAATCGAACAATTTTCACACTCACCACTCTTTTTGCTTCTTCTGAGTTTCATCAGATGTGTCTTTCAAGATTATTAAAAATTTCGGTCGTGAATACCGAAGATTTAATTTCATACTTTGGAAGATGGGTCTACGTACAATATTTAATTTTTATTGCGACGCATTAAAGTCCGTGGAGATTTGAAAAATTCTTGGCCGTGAATCCAACAATTTTCAAAGTTAAATCCTTCTTGGTTAAAAAAAATCGAAGTTTTCAAATCCAAAATTGGTTCCAATATCCCAGACTTTTATGTGCTTTGAACCACTTTTTTTGATTCACTATTCTATAGATCATGAATTGCAGTGTTTTCTTCTAATCCATTATCCTTTTTTTAATTTCCGAATTATAGAGAAAATGTCATCCATAGGAAAAAAGGGGTTCCCATTTTTCTTTTCCCAAGAGCAAACGTCTTGTGATGTGCAGGGAGAAAGAACCGGGTTATTCCTCAAGGGGATCTCGTCCCTGGGCCGGGGCACTATTTAAGAGAAGTTCTGGTTCCCAGGCCGTCAGTTGAGCAACTACTCCTGCTAAAGAAAGAGCTACTTTGAAAATGCTGTAGAAATTCTAGATTTTCCCAATCAGTTAATTTAGGCAAAGTTCCCTTCGCAGACGTGTATAAAATGATCAGCTTTTAAAAATATATATTTATAAGGTCATTTTTGGAGATTTGGCTGCGTATCATCGCGGGTCGACTTGGGAAATGTTTTCTCAGCGATGAGATTTTTTCATGTCACCAGACACTTAATGCACTTTATAGAGAAGGACAATTTTCATCATATTCCAATAAAAATACAATTATTCGTGCTTGAGATAGCCGACCACAAAATTCTGTAAATTTGATGTTGGAGAAATAATCACTCTGCTGAAGTTTCAGTGAGAATTTAAGCTGAAAAAAGCAATGCCTGAAATCAAACTCGGGATATCGAACTCAATTAATGTAGAGTAGGTTTAAATCTCAAGAAGCTTGGAAAGAATCATAGTACAATTTTCAATTTGATTGTAATGCGAATTTTGGATATTTGTGATTAATGTGTGGAAAGATTTCAGTTCTGCAGTGGGAAGTTAGAAGTTTTTTTTTTGTTGAGAAAAACGTTTGGCTTAATTTTTTCATCAACAGCGATATTATTCGTCTCTAACCGAAATGTTTGCCAGGACTCTGCGTAAAATTATGAGGAGGCTATGAATTGTATCTATTTTCATTCAATGAAACATTGAACTCCATCCAGCAAAAAATCCAAATACAGTATATTCAGATTTTAAAAAACATTGATGACTGAAACTAAATATTGTTGTTCAGTTTTGTAAAGAATTTTTTTTATTGGAGATTGAAAATGAAGAGACGGTTTCCGATTCATCAACATAGCCCTTGGAAACTCCATGAGGCGTCTTTTACCGAGTGTTGAAAATTTTCAAGTTTTCTCCCTTTCAAAGATTTTCCTTGTATCATCCTGCTTTTGATTTGTTATTCAGCTCTCAGAAATCAACTTTCGAAAACAAAAATGCGTTGTGGAGCTTTTTCGCTGTTGTTCCTGGTCGTCTGCCTGTGTGCAGTCATGTTTCAGTTGGGTAACGCGAGACCTTCCGAGGAATTCCGACCTCGTGAACGTCAGGTCAGTTCAAACATATTCTAAATCACACTGATACTTCTCTGACGATTTCCCTTCAATGATTTTAATTTTTGTGTGACTGTGTTTGTGTTTATTCCTGACTGACAACAGGTGATTGCAGAACTGGCCTCAAGGATCCTCGCAATTACCATGAATTCCGGCAATAATTCGCCTTACGATCAAATTCCGATGACAGCGTCCAAACGCAATGCTGAGCTCATCAACTCGCTGCTCGGGATTCCGAAAGCCATGAGCGAAGCCGGAAAATAATGAACATTTCCGCGAAATCCGAGGACTTGCGAAAAAAGAACATAACCAAAGAATTAAAAAAAATCCAAAGAATATGGGTATAAGAAGCTGACTCAAATCGAAAACCAGAAGCTTTCCTTCAGACATTTGTTTTCCTAAAAATGCTGAAAGGTTCCCTACCCCAATCTCATCCTGCAAAAATGCCTGGATGATTCTCTTTTTTTGTGTATATTTTTGCCTTTATCAACTACGACTATCACAAAAAGGAGGCAGTAGGATAACAACTCTTGGCCACGGTAAAAAGAACAAAAGTTTAACTGAGCAAAAGCAGCCACTGTCGCTTATTTCTTTACACTTTAAATTACGGAACCGAAAAAATTGCGTCGATGTTTTTCCTCTAATCGTTTAGAAATTCAAATAACTTTGTTTGCTGCAGAAAAATAACACTATTATTGAAACCTGTCTAACCTAGTCCAAAACACTTTTTTAGAGTTTTACTTATCATGTATTTTTCAACTTAACTAGAATTGGACTTTTTTCACCCAAATTTTTTAACAGTACTTAAGAATTGTTCTCAATTGGAGATACGCAATTCAAAGGCTACGCAAAAATGTTTGCTTTTGTTGTCAAAAATATTGGGAGCTTTTGAACGACAAAATATTTGAATAAAATGTATCCAACCGAAACGTTTTTATAAAAAAAAAAGCTCATATCTGCTGGTCTAGGAGAGAGTAGAGTGAAACCGCTGAGTTTAAGGTGAATCGAAGACTACAATTACAGCATTTATTTTAAACCAAATCAATTACCTAAATAACATCTGTACAAGCTAGCATACACTTTGTAAGACTGGGAACACTGATATTCCTGAGATATTCCGGAACAAAAATGCTCTGTACTTTGTAATTTCAAGTCCACGAGTTCGCAAAACTTGAAGGCGGATGATAAAATATATGCAGATTTTTAAAAATCAATTCCTGAATGTTTTGGTGATCTTTTACCACTCACAGAGCTGAATTTAAATAGATTTTCATGCTGTTTGATTAAACACATTTGAAAAGATAGAAAAGCATGATTTGTGTTATAATATTGCCACGTGCTGCTTATTCAAGTCAGATATGGAGCAACAGCTGCTCCAATCAGTCTTGTGCGAATAAAGTCACCAGCTCTAAGGAAAACACACCCACACACACACACCTCAGTGTTCTAAAAACATGGCTTGCCACAAATTTATGACCACCTTGTGATTTGATGAATTTATATGCCTCTTGTGGGAACAGCAGTCTGCTATGTTATTCCTGGTCTTGCCAAAACAAAGGGTATACAGCAGGCAAGCTTTCCATCTTGGTCACAATTATGCAATATGGGTGGACCCATGACCAACATATTGTGTGACTGACTTGAATTACATGGTTGTGTGACATGTGTTGTGCTTAAATATTCAAGAAAACTTGGAGCAAAAATATGGCGAGCTATTTTTATTCCATCTCTCTTTCGCCAGGCGTCATTCAATATAATTTATCAAGAAAGAACTTGAATTGGCACAGTACTTTCTGCAGAATACATTCAGAAGAAATCTTTTTTTCTGCAGGCGCATTGCGTCTAAAATTTCTTGGAAATTGCAGCCATTGTTGGGTTGAGACCGACAAAGAAAATTGAGAGTAAGTGAGGATGAATCAAGGCAGGAATCAGTCTTATGCAGCCAGGTACCTCTTAGAGAGGGTCCTTCTAAACAACACTTTAATTAGTTTAATCAAACACAAGATAACAGAACAGAAGACCAAACACCAGTGAAGTGGGCAATGATTATTAACAGTAACTCAGCAAGACAAATCCCACAATCACACACACAACAATTTGGTCAAGAGCCTTCAGTCACAGGTATCCACTAGCAGTCAAAGCCTGGATTTGAGTGAATAAAGATCTCCTTTTCTTTGTTGGAACCCAAGCTCTGATGGGTTGTTCATCTTTGCCACCAGTTCTCCTTCACAGGGCCAGGGGAAACCAGCTGTGCAGAAGGGACTTCCTACTGCAGATATCCTTTGGCAACCCTTTCACGGGCTTGGCCAATGTCCACTGCTTTGGTTGCACAGCGGCATCTGGTGGCCTGACAGCCTATCTCAAATCAAAATAGGTTTTATGTCTGAATTGTGTTCCATTGAAGCCAGCACTGAGTAGACCCCTGACTGGCATGCCCAGATTGAGGCAATTATCAGCTCTGCTATACTGTATATGGGAAGGAAAACCGTGGGCGAAGCAAATGAAATTAGCTGCTGTGCATACAAACCTTTCTCTTTCATCTGGAACAGAAAAGAAAAGCAGAAGGATCGTCTTGTTTCTTTCTATTTTTCCTGATCCATCGAAAATCTTTCTGTTTGCGGAAGGTTTGCAGAAGTTGACTTATGACATTATGACACAAAAAGCCAACTTTTTATAAGGGCCACTGTGTCGCCTGCTGTGGAGTATAAATATTTACTCAAAACTTGCTTTGTGTGCGAGGTGATCTTTTTTTTCGAACTTGAGAGGGAATGAATATATTTTGCATTATACCTCTCAACTTGTAACTGTTGAGATAATTTATACTGCGTGTATCAGTACATGATTCCTGTACGCTTCTCAAAGGTAACCGCGGAAATGTTCCTTTATTGTAAAATTTCGATTTTTGAAAATTCCGAAGTGTGGGAAAGACAAAATCAGCCTAAAAATATGTATGTTTCTAAAAAAAACTGTTGAAATATGTCCCGTTGAAAAATTCGCCAATTACATTTGCGTTAATACTGTCATGAAAGATCTAAATTAGTCAAGTGGACATAATTGAAAATGATTGAACAATGTTTTATCAAAAACTTTGCTCGGCTACATAGAATTCCCACAGAAAATTCCGTGAACAACGTTTGTGCTGAACTAATTAATTCGCGAAGCGCATTCTTCACTAAAAAATCATATTTATATTATAATGTGAATCCCTGAACTAATCATTAACATTTTAGAAAAACGTCGAATGAATGGCCCATCATTTTCTAATTCATTTGTTGCTTCAATCGTCCGAGAATTGGATAATAGATGGATATAAAAATATATTTACAACAATTTTCACAAAATAATATTTTTATTTATTCGTGGTCACCGCTCCGACCATCTTAGCACATAAAGTAATCAGATTTCAAGGACTATATACTAAATTTCATGTTTCTTTAGAAAGTCTGAATACTTCCGAAAATCACAAATGATGGATACTTTCTTTTATTTGATTTACAATTTTCTAGATCTGGAAAATAAATTATTTACATAAGATTGAAAAAAGTTCATGGATCGTGCGCCGATCTTGACGATATCCTGAATGCGTAGATTGATAAGAAATTTCATTTGGTGAGCAATAAAGGAATTTATTTGTAAAAAAAACTATAAAAAAACGTTTGTAAAGTAACCGAGCCCGGATCTCAATAACCACTAGAACTAAATTTTGAAATCCGGTCCCTGACGAGTAAACTCTAAATTCATAATTAACTTACCGTATTTCCTATACGTACTCATCAACTCACTGTTACATGAATTTAATAAATTTTTATGCAAAGTAACCATAGCCGGCGAAACAACTGAGGCTAAACAGCACATACAATTCACAATATCACCCCAGTGTTTCTAAAAGTCATAAACGGTCGACATGATGAATGCTGATATTGCTGACCATTTGGTCATCCACGTGCTATTTTTGAAGGTACACCAAAATGATTTCGGGATATAAAACCAAGCAGACCTTTATTTTGCACATCCAGGAGAACTTTACATGCTGCTCACATTTTACTGCGCTTTAATTCAAAAGTGTGGAGCATATGTTTACCTATATTTCTACCGACCATTAACCGATAATATCTCACACTACTATATAGACTCCTTCGGATATATTTTTTTCCCTGTGCAAAAGCCATAATATCGAAGCGCAAGATCCACAAAAGCGAACATCGGATGCATTTATTTCCATTTTTCTGACGCTTGCCCTCGTATCACGTTCATCAACGGTTCATCTGACCTCGGCCAAGAAAACCTTTAATCTTAATTTTTGAGGTGCTGGCTTTATTGATCGGCTATCGAAGGGAAAATAACACGAGGATCGAAGAAGAAACGAGGGATACATAAGGTAGAAAGAAAAATATGAATAAATAAAAAATAAAGAAGATTCAGAACTGCATGAAAGAACGCGATGTCTTCTCGATGCATGATGTACCTGATGGTTCGGGATCTGAAAAAATAAAAAGCAACAAAACAAAAAAAGGCTCATGAACTGGAGACGAGTCACATAAATATTTCCTGGGGAAATTAGTCTTCGCAGCTCTTGAAGCATTCGTAGACCCGAAAATCAAAAGAACCCGTAAGTGCTACCCAAGGCAAGGAACACTTCAAACGGCCAGATTAATGCTGGGTCAGGGTATGGAAGGATATTTCAGAAAATTCTTGGAGTTACACATGTATAAAATACCATACACAACACGCTTCATCGATCAAAAAGCTCGGAAACTACAATTATTTCGATTCTAAATTATTAAACAGAATATAGTGCTCTTTTTAAGTTCATGAATCGTGTGGATAGCGAAAAAGTATGCGGAAATCCATTATAGATCGACTTTTGAAAAATAATATCAATTGATTTGTGTTCTATGAAAATATGAAACATAAGTTATATTTTCAGTTCGATCGTTCCACGAAGGTGTGCGTGATTATTACTGCCATTGCTGTAATTATTCTTCTTCTACTTAGCCTCTCGGCGAACAAAGCAAAACAATTTAGTTGCATCCCTGGAACCCTCGAAATAAAACTTCAAACAATTAATGCACAAGCATTTTTTTCACGTGTACACTTTGAAAATAATTTAAATTCGTTTGGCGGTAGAATAACCGCTTTCAGAACCCCCTCTATCAGGCTGGGAAGCCTCTACATATACAGTACTTGTATAACATGGATGATTTTTAAAACGGTCTCCCCAATATAGCAATATAATGGAAATACATACTGTATACAGTAGTAAAAAACTGGGCCTGAAATTGAACATGCGTCGATCAGAAAATTGAATGACGTTTAATTTTATATTTTCAAGGTTATACACTAGCCCTACCTCTTCTTACGTTTAGAATGTACAGTTTATCTAATATAGCAGCAAGAAAAAAAAACGGCCTAATTATGTATTCGATTTGCTTTGTAGAATAGCATTCGTCGAGCAAAAATGGAAATGAGTTCCA